TCAGTGAAATGTGGAAAATCTCATCTCTCTAGCAATGTGCTTATTACTATCGACAATCTTCTTTGGTAGAACTGATACATGTGCTTCTACTCGTGTGGATACAAATGCAATATATTCCCAAATTAAAAACATAATAGATATGAATGGGCAAAAGGATGCTATAGGGGGAATTAGGAATTTGCTTTTGTTTTTCTTTTTTTTTTAGTGATACTTCTCTTTTCAGGTATGGAAGACCTTCCAAAGACATTTTTGTTCAATTAAAACACTGTCATGAAAAATTTAAAGTATCCGTGCTACTTCAAAGCTTATAAATTTATATTTTCTGAAAGAAGGATCAGCACATACTTGTATTTCTTTGAAAGATCAGGAAGATATTCTCATCATAATAATGAAAATGAAAACAAAATAATCAATATATCTAGGGAGAAACCTTTAAATAACTAATTCATGACATATTCTGGAAGAAGTAAGGCTTTTTAAAACTGTATTGGTCCAATAGATATGAGATTTCATAGCCACTTAACCCTCCAGAGGAAGAGGAAAGAAGCCAGAATGAAAAGTTTATGTGAGACTAGTAGAAAGCTGTTGGGCCATACTGTCTTGTATTTTTGCAGAGACCCAAATAGAAAATTTCTAGTCATAAAGTTTGAGCTCATTTTACAGCATAGATCATTTCAAAACAGAGTCGTAATTATAGTGACAACAACTGAATAGACTCACTGGGCAATATATTTTATTTATATCTACAGGTTGAGAAATTCACCGAAGCATGAGGATAAGCATGTATAATCAGTTGGAAAGATGGGGAGGGCGATTTTAACAAAGTCAAGGATTTGGTGTGGTTCAGTGACATTTACCCAAGAGGGCTCCTGTTTCAAACTCACGTTGTCAACATAACACTTCACTTCTTTGCTGCCAATTCTACATAATAACCTAGTTTTCAATTCTGTGTTATTTGAGCTATACCTACCTTATCTTGTCTTATAATTGCAATTGGAGATCACTATACCTTCCTTATAATCTCAAACTACATTATAGTAGCCTTTTATAGCTATACAATAATTGTAGTTATCTTAAGAGCTTAGAGGAGGCAATATTTCCTCAAAAGGTTTTGCTAAAGCAAACTAATTTTGAAATCTATTAATTGGACCTAGTTAGTATAAAAGTGAAAGTGGTAAAATTAAATATCTGAATGTCAGATGACTTTGCTCAGGCAATATGGCAAATTGATGTCAGAGCTAGAATCGTATCACAAGCCATAGCTTACCAGGAGTGAATTGTGGTTGCATTCATTGTGTGTAATGTGTACAAAAGTCTTGTATCATCTTCAGGCATTCATTGAACAAGAAACCCATTGGCAAAAAAGAAACCCACTAAAAAAGTCAATTTACTTTTGAGGTACTAAGGTTTGAACTCAGATTTTTGTACTTGTTAGGTAGGTGTTCTACCACTTGAACCATATTCCCAGCCCAAATTGGGATTACTTTTATGAGAACTATTTGGTGTGAAGATCTCCTTTACACCATTAACATGAGTAAGTAGGTTAAAATTTCAATAGTCAACTTCTTAAAGACTGCATATTTTGGAACCACAGCCCTTCTTCCCTTTATTCCACCTCAAACAAATATAGAGCAAGGGCCACAGAGCTTCCAAATCTAATTTTTAAAAATAATGTGTCCTCTTCCCACCTTCTTGGTCATGTGTAATTACTTTCATCATTTGTTGGCCTTGAGATTGAAAGAGAGAATATTTTCTCTCACAGGGATGTGGGTCTGATAACATAGTGACTCAAAACCTTCATCAAACGATATATTTCTATTTATAGAAGAGGAAGCAGAGAATACCAATTTGTGCATCATTCATAAAGTACTATAGGTCCCTCTTTGCTTAGGTCATTCCATGTTTATATTTATTGTCTCAATATAATCATTAATTGTATCTTATCTTAAAAGTGTCAGATTTAGAAGTTTTGTGGTTGCCCTAGCACTTCAAGCCCTTGATGAGAAGTAAAAGCAGCACAACTTGAGCTGTTTAGATATGATTTCTGGTCCCATTATTCAAGTCAAGAGTCTTACCTTTCAAGTATTTGGTATAAGGGATAGAGTTTACCTTCATGAAAAACTATGAACTATAAATGTTCCTGTCTTTCATCTTTGAAAAGGAAGAAACTGCCTTTCTGAAACTGGGTCTGTGGTATGAAATGCTACACACTCTTCTTATTATGGTTGCTAGGCAGAGTAGCTAATCTAACATAGTGATCACAAGTTAGTTGTATTAAAGACTCTGTTTTCCTGTCTTCTGTGAGTATGCAGGTTAAGCAATATTTATGTGTGAATAAGATACTACATAATATTTATGTGTGATAAGATACTATGACTATTAGTGAAATTTAATACTAACAATTCATGCTGTATACTGACATCAATTTTCAGGAAGGAAGAAAATAAAGCAAATGGAGTAAGACGAGCAGAACATTAAAAGATACTTTGAACCTGGTGCTGGTGGCTCATACCTATAAAGCTAACTGCTTAGATGGCTGAAATACAGAGAATCACAGTTAAAGCTAGCTCAGGAAATAAATATGACAGATACAATCTCCAAATAGTTTGCAAAATGTGGGGCTGGAGATGTGGGTAAAGTAGTAGAGCACCAATTAAGAAAGCAAACCAAGAAAATGTGAGCCCTAGATTTCAAATCCCATTACTGCCAAACCTCCCCTCTCCAGAAAATGAAAAAAAAATCATCATCAACAACAACAAAAACCTCACAAAGATATTTTGAGTTCTTTCTTATCCTCCAATCCTGCTCAGGCTGCACCTGAGGGGCAAGTCACCATTTCCTCATAGTCATCATGAATTTATGCTTAAATTCTCTGTAAAAGCTCCTTGTAAAATTATCAATCTTCAAAGTCTTAATTCAACCTAGAGTCTAGACTCAAAATCAGTCAATTCATATTTTATTTGTAATATCACATCAGAAAATAGAATTCATTATTGTTTGGAGACAAGGAAGTTACCAAGGAAATTTTGTTATGCTCTGCAGTGAGAAAAATAAGAAAATTGATTGCTTTTAGTATCCTCTTTTTTAAGAGAGACAATTAGTATGCTTTTAATATTTTTATATGTCTTTAGTATTTTTAGATGTTTTTTAATATTTACATATTAATTTACCTTCCCTGAAAAACCTATGTGCAGAAGAGTCTAGGGATTTTCCTTGTACTGTGCTCAGTGTTAGCAGATGAAGCAAAACAGGAAGGGCAGGGAAGCAAACACTGCTAGGTGCTGCAGGGACTCTGCGAGAACATTTTGGCCTCAAGTTAGGGCTTCTAGGAATACTGATGGAAAGTCTTTCAAGCTCACTAAAGAGCTGAGCTAGCAAAATTTTGCAATCTGTACACTGGATAATCTCTGAGGTTTCAAGTAGTTTTGAGATATATGACCCAGAAAGCCTGAAATCCTTCTTGGACTTCTCCCTTGGGTCCTGTTAAAACAGAATCTCTGACAAATCTATCTTCTATCCTTTCCACCTGCAGGAAGTGGGGTGAAGAAGACAAGATATACTTTTTCTCTGCATCTGTTCATAGAGATGTAAAGTCAAGTCTGTATGTAAGCTAATGATATTTAAAAAGTCAAGTGTAGGGTTCACTGGGACTACACATTGTTCAGTACTTGGTACTTCTTGTTATTGATTTATTTTTTTTTCTTTTGGTACTGGTCCTGGAGTTTGAACTCAGGGCCTATGTGCTGTCCCCGAGCTTTCTGCTTAAAGGTTAAAGCTCTACCATTTTAGTCACCGCTCTACTTTAAAAAAAATGCTGGTCTGGGACTCGAACTCTGGGCTTGGGTGCTCTCCCTCAGCTTCTTTCTGCCCAAGGCTAGCGCTCTACCACGTGAGCCTCGGTGCCACTTCCAGTTTTTTCTGTGATTTTTTTGGAGATAAGAGTCTCACAACTTTCCTGCCTAGGCTGGCTTTGAACTGAGATCCTCAGATCTAAGTCTCCTGAGTAGAAGCCATTGGCATTCAACTCAATGAAACTTCAGTTATATGAAGAAAATAAAGAATGTTCAAGTAAGCTACTTAAGGTTATTAGCAAAAAGTAGCTAAGCTGAAATTTTAACTTGGATTCACTTCTGCAGATCTTTATTGTTATTATAAAGATGACATACAGAGGGATTACAGTTACATAAGTCAGGTAAAGAGTACATTTTTTTTTAAAAATAAGTTTTTTATTGTGAAAATACTGTACAGAGGTGTTCAGTTACAGTTACATGAGCAAGTTACATGTTGCCTCTGCCTTTGTTTTTCCCCTACCATCCCTTTCCTCCCACCTCCTCAACTGTAGGGCTGGGAAGGTGGCTCAGTGGTAGAGTGCTTGCCTTGCATACATGAGACCCTGAGTACTGATTCCTCAGTCCAAATAAACAAAAAAAGCCAGAAGTGGCGCTGTGGCTCAAGTGGTAGAGTGCTAACCTTAAGCTGAAGAGCTGAAGGAAAGCGCCCAGGCCCAGAGTTCAGGCCCCACAACTGACAAAAACTGCACATTTCTTTTTGCACAATATCACCCCTTCCCTTGCTCTCTTCCAGTGGAGCTCTTCTTGATTTGTCAAATGGCTAACCCTAAAATGTGCAGACATTTAATCCATGTGTATACTATTTATTTTACTTTTCTCTCCTTCTAATGTCTACTAGATATGCAAACCTGGTACATCTCAGAAAATGTTCTTAGTCTTAGAACGTTTTTTTTGACTCGTATCTCTGAGGATCACATAAAAGTTACGAACCTTCTCCACATAAAAATGCTTTCCCACCAACATTTTTGCATACTATTAAGATTGTTAAGATCATCTGACCCTTCCAGACATAACAACTGTAGTTTGGGGCAGTACCTCTACAGTTAAGAGCTCATAGTATTCATATTTAAGCAATTTATATGAGTGTTTGATTTGGAGAAAACCGCATTCACATTTTACGAAGGTATTTGCTTTTGTTTTCTCCTTCAGGGGAGAGCTCTGTGTCAGTGTTACAGTTGGCTCTGGTCATTCACTGGCTGCCTGGAAACAGCACAGTTTGTACATTCCATGGCAAGTCTCCAGAAAGGCAGAGAACACTACTAGGGAGTGGAGGTATGATGACCACCTCCCCCTCCCCTGGTTCTGACATGAACATTACTGCTGCTGCTGCTGTTGAAAGACCTCATTATTAACACAGCAGATACTGGGAGAACAAAGGGACCATTTTTTTTTAGAACAGAGGTCTATCTGTTGGTGTTCATTGAATATTTTCTGGTTATGGTATTAAGTTGGTCAGGGTATTGCAGCATGTCTTTTTGGCCTGAGTTCATGTAGGCAGCTTTCTCTTAAAGGATGAACGAAGGAGCACATCCTCAGACTCAATACTCCTTTATCTGATACAAGCTTTCACCATTTTTTTTTTGAGAGCATCACATTCTTTCTGGCAACGAAGAATTAAGGAATATAAAAATGGCATGAATTTTGATACCTTTTCACATTTAAAGTTGTCTGGAAAAGAACATAATCTAAGCAACCATAAAATGTTCTTAAGAGATGACAGAAATATAAGCATAGTTTATTGGCCCAATTCTCAGCTGGAAATGGCAACTATTACACAATTTGCTAGTGGTTGGTGTTGTTGTCTCTCTGAAACCATTCCAGATTTTCCTGGGCACAATGAGCAGAGAACACAGGACAGAGAGACAAAAACCTGAGTTTAGTTCTAATCCTACCATTAACAACCTGGTGATCTCCAATAGGCCATTACCTCTCTGAGCCTAGGCTATCAAAAAGAAAAGTTGAGCTCTAGGGTCCTGGTGAGTTCTACAGCACTATCATTTTATAAAAAGACAAGATTTCTTTCATTTTATGTGAGTCTTTCTAGAGTCCTTGAATCTTGCAACTGAACCACTTGAAATCTGTGATCCATATTCCAAGTGCATCACTAACTCCTGGTTGCACATCCAGATTGTTCCACTGAGAAATGAATCCATGTTATAACATTTCTTTTGAATCAGTAAGTTTTGTCTTCAGGCTCAAGAGAAGTGCATTCCTGACTTACATTGTGTATGCAGTGTAACAGAAATTCAGGAAGTCAGTCCCATTTCTGAGCCTTCTCCAGTAAATTCAACCCAATTTCTTATCTTAATTGTTTCTCTAGCAATGATTTTTATTATTTTCCTTACTCTGAAGAGTTCTAGGAGGCACTTGATAATGTTTATTGGAAAATGTCCTGTTTGGCTGAAATATTACTACTCATGATTTCAGTCATTTCATTTCCACTATCTTGAATTTGTCAAGAATCCTATATTCCAGGCACTCTAGAAAGCTAGAACAGAACATCTTATAAACAATATGAAAAGCAAAACAAAATAAGTAAGCTTTCACTGTATTTACACTTTAAAAGACGCAAGTAGAGCATTCAGTATATTTTGATGGTAAACACATATAGTCTGATGGAGAAATATGGGAAGTGAAATGCTTGATAATTATACTGAATATTGGTACCTTGGTTCAAAAAATTATAATTGTATCATAAAGTTATAACAGTGAAGGGATATTCCTTTGAAAATCTCTATCTTATGACATTGAATAGAAGCATTTTGTTTCTTCTTACAGGTTTGTGGTGAACTCATGGAGCCTTTCTCTTTCACATTCTGGTCTCCTCTAGAGGTCGATTCATGAAGTCCTGAATAGCCTCATGCAAAGGAAGCCATTTTTTGATAGATGCCTTCAGAGCTGTAATCCAGCTACATTGAAACAAAGAGCCACATTGCATTAAACATGGAAGACTATGGAAATGTCAATGTGACAAAAATCCTTTCATTTAATTTCTAATAGAGTCTCTGGGTTATTAGTTTGAAATTAAGAGTATAAAGCATGCTCAGATTATGTATTGAATAAGAAAGTAAAATAGCATATGTGGGATTCGTACTGGTAATGATTAAATTTGTTCATGTAAACAACAAGATCTAAAATTAATATGATGCTTGTAAATACTGATTAATGAAGTTATAAAGTTTTAAAATTATTAATATTTTATTGTTTCTGCTTGACATTAAAGTTTATTTGATCACATTTATAATAATCAAATATTTTCATATGGGAAAATATCTCCGGGTTAAATTCTGGAAACCACAACAAATTCTCCACTTAAGGATCCTTTCTTCTCCCTTCCTTTCATTTTCTTAAACAATTTTTTACAAAACATATCTATATAACATTGATTTCAAGGAAAAATCTTAATTAGAAAACACCACTATCTTGGCATTGTTGGCTCATGCCTGAAAACCTAGCTATTCAGGAAGCTGAGATCTGAGGATCTCAGTTTGAAGCCAACAGGAGCATGCAAGTCCATCAAATTCTTAACTCCAATCAACCACCCAAAAGCTGTGGAGCTGTGACTCAAGTGGTAGAGCACCTTAAGCAAAAACTCTCAGGGACAGTGCCCAGGCCCTGAGTTCAAGTCCCAGGACCAGCAAAAAAACAAGCAAAAAACAAAATGCCCCCTACTAACAATGACCAACTGATTTAACCAGGAATATCTCCAGCATGATGTCTCAGAAATACTGAGGTTTATGCTTTGTTATTCTCTAAGTAGGAAAGTTGCTTTAGGGATAAATGTGGTATCTTGTGGATCCAGAGTTCCACGCACTGTGACACTTCCCTATTATCCATTGAAATATTTATGAAGCAGCTCAATATTGTTTCTTACTGATAAAGCGGCTTGTAACAGTGAGACCCACCTGTTATACCTCCCAGATAATTTTGAGAGTGGAGCTAACTCTGATACCTTTTTCTGGTATGCTAGCAGGAATCTTACATGCCAATTCTTAGGAAGAATTGGGATTACTTTATCTCCAGAAACATCACCTGAGGAAGCATCGAAAGACAAAAAACTCTAGAACACATCACCTATGGAGACTGGAAAGGGAAGGAAGGGTTTAAGGGAAGATGTGGAGCTGGATCATAAGGATAAGAGTTTGCCAGGAATCCTATCTAGACAGATTAAAAAAGAGAGAGAGAGAGAGATAGGAAGAACTTTGCCTTACCGCTGGTTTTCGGTTTCATTTTCTGCACAGAAATAAAAAGTCTTGAACTCTTCTGATGAGGGTTTGAGTTCAATTACCGCTTGTTTGAAGCCATGAGTTTGTTCACTGACCCTATAACCATGGAGATATAGGCCTCCTAAAGTGTGAAAAGAAATAATGAATGAAGAAAAAAAATGAAAAGAAGAAACTGTAAAGAGCAGAAGTTTAAAAGGTGACAAGGAAAATTTGAATGTGAAGGAATCCCCTGTTCATGCTTCAGCAGCCTCATTTTACAGGTGAAGAAACTGAGACTTCAAAAGAAGATGCAGGCAACTAGCAATTAGTATCAAGGCTGGCATTGGTTTCCACTTGTGCAATTTTCTTACTGCAGGATCAAAATTTAGCTTTCTGTGATGAGCTTTTTTTTGCTCAGACTATACATCTTACACTTAAAAAGAAATTCAGTATCAAAGTATGATTGTTAGAGGGAAATTAAGTTGTATTTGCTGGGGCAGAATCACTAAAGCATTCTTCCTGAAGAATGATGGAGATTGCTGTCAGGTTCTAAAAACCAAAACATATCCTGCCTTCTTTGTGCATATGCAAAGTACATTCATAAAAGGAACCCAAAGAATGATATGAAAAAGACAACTATAATTAGCCATGAGACTAGTTGATTTACTTGAAAAATAAGAATTGCCTTCCTGAATCTATGTTCATGGTTATACTGTATGTGCTTGGCCTGGATTTTATTTCCTTTTTGTTTTAGAGGCCAGAAGAATCTCGGTATAGCACAAGGCTCTGAGATATCCACACATTTTGTAACTTATGGTGTCTATGCTCAGTGGCAGCCTGACCTAGGAATCATGGATGAACATCTGGCTCATGGGCCATGAACTTATCTGGTACATGATAGGACAGACACATATGTTTCTGACTGGCTGCCTGTCAATATCTGCCTGTTTTGATACTTTTGTATGGCTCCTGAAAGTTATACATATCCAAATGGCCCTTGGCAGAACAAAGGGCCCATATCCCTGCCAGGTAATATTAGTATTTAAAGATATTTAAAGATTTCTGTCCCTGTTTACTCTTATTCTCATTCCCTAATTACTTCCAGGAGCCACTGGACTGTACCATAATAACAAAAGCAAAAATACAAACAAACTCTTGAAGACAAGTGCAGTGACCCATGGTGCTTATCCCAGCTACTTCAGTGATTAGGATCTGCAGGATCATAATTCAAGGTTAGTCCAAGCAAAAAAGTTAAGATCTCAACTAATAAGCTAGGCCGAGTGTAATCCTAGTATACAAGAAGCTATAGTTAAGAGGATTGACTTCAGAGGCTGGCACTCTTTGGGAAAAGAGTGTGAGAGTCTGCTTGAAAAAAACAACTAAAAATTACAAAAAAAGACTGGAGGGGTAGCTCAAGTGGTAGAGCATCTGCCTAACATGTGCAAGACCCACAATTAATAACCCAGCATTGCCAAAAAATGAAATCTGTTGAATCATTTTCCTCCCTCTGTCAATAGCTGATCTGTAAGTTGTCCCCTTTGAAAATGGCTGACTTTATTTTTTCTGGTTACACTCAGCACTCAGTGCACTGTCAGGAAGATGTGAATTTTCTTTTAAAACAGAACAATTGGTTTCTGGATTTTAAAAATTAGGGGAAACCCCTTTCTAATTCTGGAGGGGTTAGATGTAATATTAACTTCCCCTTTAATTTCATTTAAAATGAGTCTATTTTAGAATATCTTAGCATTCATTTTAGAAGTGGACAGACTTTGCACTCTGGTAGACTTCAATAATATGCTGTTTATCAAAACCACAGTTATAGATCCTTGAGATATATAGGGATGGAGAGATAAATATTTATTAATTATATTTGATTTATTTATTATATTTATGTTTTATTATATTTTATATTTATTTATATATATATTATATATATATATATATATATTTTTTTTTTTTTTTTTTTTTGCCAGTCCTGAGGCTTGAACTCAGGGCCTGAGCTCTGTCTCTGAGTCTGTCTGTGCTCAAGGCTAGCACTCTACCACTTGAACCACATTGCCACTTCTGGCTTTTTCTGTTTATGTGGTACTGAGGAATCAAACCCTAGACAATGGTAGGCAAGCACTCTACAACTAAGCCACATTCCCAGCCCACAAGGTAAATATTTATAATAACCCTATTATAGTCCAATTTACACATCATCAAACATATCCAGCTGCTTAGTTTATATCATGGAGTTGTGCAATCATAACCATAGTCAAATTCTAGAATATTTTCCTCACTTCAAGAAGAAATAGCATGTCCCCAGCTGTCTTCTGTGGTTCCTGGTGCTAGACAATATACTTACCTGTTAATGAAATGCCATAGTTACTCTTCTGTCTAAATTCTTTGCCTTAACAATAGCACAAGCCTCTGCCTGCTGTTGCATTCATTTGTAGACCTTTCCTATTTCTTTCAGGTCCTTTTTATATATCTCAACAAGTATTATCACCTTCTTCTACCTATCATTCTTGAGAATAGTTGTAAGGTTTTGCTTAATAAGGTCTTCTATAAACAACAAAGGTTTTTGACCTATTTTCTGATCAGTGGTATAAGTGATTGCTGGTAAAGACAGCCAGTTATAACCAACTCCAGTACCTCATTTGAGGTAATTTTACTGGTTTGGGCTTTCTCTTACTGGATTCTGAACAAGTGTTAGAAAGCCAACACAGCCCAGTGTCAGTGTTTGACATCTGTAATCTTAGCTACCTAGGAGGCTGAGATCTGAGTATCTCAGTTCAAATCCAGCTCCAAAAGAAATGTCTGTGAGAATGAGACTCTTATTTCCAATTAACCACCAAAAAGCTAGAAGTGGAGCTATGGCTCAAATGGTAGAGCAAGAACTTAAGCCCTGAAGAACCAGGCCCTGAATTCAAGCCCCTGTACTGGCACACATCCACCCCTAACCACCCCCGACACACAGAGAAATACAATGAAAGGAAGGAAGGAAGGAAGGAAGAAAGAAAGAAAGAAGGAAAGGAAGAAAGGAAGGAAGGAAAGAAGGAAGGAAAGAAGGAAGGAAGGAAGAAAACAAACAAAGAAAGCACAATGTTAGCTGAATTATGAGTCCTATTTATTACAATATTGTAAAACATGTCTTTTCTGAGACATGTTTTAGACTTGTGATTTATTAAAAAACAATACTCAACAGTCACGATTTGTTACTCCCAACTTTTGCAAAGGGGGGGGGGGTGGAATGTTCTCAAGTGTGTGGTGAATGACAAAGCCCTTCAGGCTCATATAAAGGCACTTCACTGAGGCGCTTCTGGAATCCTCACAGTGGCTTCCTAATGTGAGCAGGCGCATGAGAGCCCGCAATGCATATTGTGTAAGTGCTAACACTTCTTGTGACAGCGAGGAAAGCCTTCTGGGAACCGAAGAGGCTATTTCTCTAACTCCCACATTACATGCCAGAGTGTATTTCTGTAGCTGAAAGTACAAAGTGGGTTTGATGTCTAATCTGGCTATTACAGGAACCCAGGGCTGGGCTGTCTCCCTTCACATTTCTTACCTCCCTTTGCTGCACTTAGTAGCCTCTTAGCATTGTAGGTGATGCTTTAAAAAATATGTCAGGCCAATAATACTACAGATCCCTTCAGAAATAGGAAATAGATGTGTTTGCCCACATCTCAAATAAGAACATAAAGTAATGGACTAAAATATTATTTAAAAAATATATAAATTAGCAAAGCAACTAGGATGCTACAGACAGGAGGCCAAATGAAGTGGTGATATCAGAAGCTTGTCTCTCAAGAACAAAGCAGAGATTTGCAAGCACAAAAATATTGGAAAAGAAGCACCATTTTTGTATATGCTGTTTCTGAGATTCTGAACATAAAATGGACTGTTTGATAAGTAAGTACTTACAGGAAATTAACATTTTGTTTCAGGACTTTTATAAATTTCAGCTATAATCCAAAAATGTAACAAATGCAGATGTCCTCCAATTTTCGTGTCATTGCTAAAACGTTTTGTGAAATAACATGATGTACCTTGATGTTTCTATTCGATTAAATTCTACATGTTTTTCAAATATTAATTATAACCTACTGCGTTGATTGCATGATTCACGGAGCATTCTGAAAAGCACTGGTGTAAATGGTAAGCAAGACCTTTTTCAAGGTTATGACCTTCACAGGATGGGAAAATAAAGAACCAGAACATTGTGGGTGGGATGTGGAAGAGCCAGGCAGATTTTATACAAGTAATGGAACAGCTACAGGTTAGAACAGCTTGAAATTCATTTACTTATCATTAACTAGAAGAATTAAGAAGAGTACTGGAACTCTGTGTAATCCTTATGAATGCAATAAGCATTCACATTTCATGCATATTAAAATGACTAATTTAACTTGAGCATCTTAGTATCTGTAATGGCCATGCCTTAGTATAGGCTCAGCCACTCTCAATAAATTTACTTCTGCTTTATAATTTCTGTGACTTTTATGATAGATGGACTGGGTAGACCCTGGCTAATTCAGTGTGCTGATGTCTGGAGTGGAGTGAATAGGCTCACAGCATTACCAGTGCTGCTTGAAAAAGAGAAATTTTAGCTGGATCCCAGTGTCTCACTCCTGTAACTCCAGCTATTCAGGAAGCTAAAACTTTGAGGATCACAGTTCAAGGTCAGCCCAGGCAGAAGCGTACATGAGACTCCAATTTCCACAATAACCAATTAAAAAGCTGGGGTGGAGGCATGACTCCAGTGGCAGAGCATCAGCTGAGTTGGCACTAGAAATAAGCCTAAGGCCTTGAGCTCAAACTTCATTATCAGAAAAAAAAAGAAGTTTCTGCTAATATGCACTACACATTGCCCATGACAGAGTTTGGACGCATGATCCAGATGTGGCTCTTCCACATCCCACCCACAATGTTCTGGTTCTTTATTTTCCCATCCTGTGAAGGTCATAACCTTGAAAAAGGTCTTGCTTACCATTTACACCAGTGCTTTTCAGAATGCTCCGTGAATCATGCAATCAACGCAGTAGGTTATAATTAATATTTGAAAAACATGTAGAATTTAATCGAATAGAAACATAGCATTTGTTCCCACGATGTCTCTAACCAATTCTTAGGTCATTATTGCCATATTAGTTAACTTCTCTGTTTTTCATCCACGATGAGGAATAATAATAATAATAATAATAGGTATTTTGTAAAAGTTACTTAGAAAAGGAGCATTAAGTGCTTATGATACTACTCAACGCATAGCAAACTTCCAATATATATGCTAATTTTTATCCTGCATTTTCCCTTTTAATAGCATGTAAAGGTAGCATGTAAAGAACTCTAAATTCAGAACACTGAAATTCATATATTCTAGCCTTCTGGATATGAGTGTGGCTCAGCAAGGTTCTTCATGAGAGGGTAGAGAATGGGTATGCCTCCACTTGGACTTGGTTTCATTACACTGAATCGCTGTCTATGAATACCAGGCTAGAGTAAGATTCAGGTTAAAATGCATAAAGGATTGAGCTAAACTCTTGGAGGAAGAATACAAATCCTAGATTAAAATTCATATGTATGGCTCTTACAAAGCTATCTCAATTTTGAAGAAAGGTTCAGCTATTAGACCCAAGAGATCTTTCCTCTGCACTCGGCACTGGTCAATAGGTGGGAAAGGAAATGCAATGAAATTTGCTTTCTGGAGCAAGTTGTCTGTACAGTCAAATAGCATTCAGAGGAGAGTAAAAAAAACACAGAAAGAATAACCAGAACGTAGGACTTAATTTTAGAACATGGCCTACATCTAAATTTTATGTTCGATTTTCAGAAAACAAATCTTCTGATCTATGTTGATTAAGAAATTTAATCCACACTGTGGACCGGCTGTAAAACTGAGACTATGTGGAGGCGGGAATATTCAAGAAGTAAACTTGGGAAAGACGGGTATGCAATATTGTTGCTATTAATCACAGTGTTTTATTTTTAAGGGAAGAATGTAAAAAAGACTAAAATGAGATAATTTCTTATAGTTGAAAGGAGTATGATATAACTTCTGGCCATGCATGAGGTTGATCAAGTTCTAGATTTGCTTTTGAGTTTGCTGTGCAATCTTCTAATCTTTATTACTGAATGAACACATGAAAAACTATTCATAAATTACACATGCAGTAAGTAGTGCAGAACATTTGATGTTCAAATATTTATTCCAGCATTTATTTATTGTTTCATTTAGTGTTTATGAGATAAAGCCATTTCTGATGCAAACAATTCCTTAGAAAAGCCAAAGATGGAGCTGGGTGCCAGTGGCTCACACCTGTAATCCTAGCTACTCAGGAGGCTGAGATCTGAGGATCGCAGTTCAAAGCCAGCCTGGGCAGGAAAAGTCCATGAGACTCTTATCTCCAATAAACCACTCAGAAAACCGGAAGTGGTGCTGTGGCTCAAGTGGTAGAGCCTTGAGCTGAAGAGCTGAGGGACAGCATCCAGGCCCAGAGTTCAAGCCCTGTGACCAACAACAACAAAAGACCAAAGATATCCCTTGTGAGATAAAATACCAAGTGATAATTGTCATAGTATAGGTAAGCTCAGAAAATTGAAATCTGCTTGTGGGACTATCTGGGATTGTTTTATAGCAGAGATAGAGTGCATCTGAACAAACATTTGAGAACAACTTATACTGAGAGTTCAGTAGGTATGCAAGGATTTTGAGGAAATAAAGTAATACCAACAAAGATATAGGAGGTGGTCACAGAGGTGGCTGTGCTAAGAAAATAGATTATCCGGGCTGGGAAGGTGGCTCAGTGGTAGAGCGCTTGCCTTGCATGCTTGAGGCCCTGGGTTCGATTCCTCAGCACCACAAAAGCAAAAAGAAAAAAAACCAGAAGTGGCACTGTGGCTCAAGTGGTAGAGCACTAGCCATGAGCTGAAGAGCTGAGGGACAGCGCCCAGGCCCAGAGTTCAGGCCCCACGACCGGTCCCAAAAATAAATAAATAAATAAAAAGAAAATAGATTATCCATTACGTGGGTGGAGTGCAGGGAGCTTTTACCCAGCAGTGAAAGCTAAAGCCTGATACAGGGGCTGTTGGGCAGAGATCATATACCCTCTAAGAGTAATTAGGAAGCAACCATAGGAGGTTCTGCAAAGAGGTTTTCAATGAAAAAGAGTTTTTTTTCCCTTACTTATCAATATTTTTTTAAAATTTAAATTCTGTCTTCACCATGAACTAGCCAGGAGATCAATGACTTGAATGTACAAAGCAGCAGCTTCTAAGCCTGTAGATGAAATTATAACTTACCTTTGGGGTTCTTTTAAAAATGAAAAGCAACTGTAAGTAAAACATGTAGCTGAGTAACCATGAGTCTTCCTCATTAAATTGCAGTGGATGCTTCAGCCACTCATATTTTCAGGCCATGTAATCATAACAATCTGCATGCAGCTCTGTAAGTAGGACATTCCTATCCTAACCGAGCACCCCTTGACCTTTAGGAACAAGAGAAGCCATCCAATCATTACTATTTTTAACTCTTGGAATCAGAAACTGTCTCTGAACTCTAGGGGGTTTGGAAATACTTTATCATCTTTTCCATTCGGAGAAATCTGTGAATTCAATCTTTAAACATTTCCTTTCTCTCTGTGGAAACAGCCTCTTGAAATTTAGCTTAATTGATCTAACAATGAAGAGATCAGAATTTTGTAATGGTACTTTGTAATAAGAGTCCTAGTCAATGACTACTTCGGAAGTTAGATTACTTTGTCTTGATTTTTAGCCTGGCCACAGCTGCTTACATGGGTGATATAAGATGCATAGGCACAGGCTGTTCTCCAAGTGTGAGGGTGTGGTGCCTTTCTTTTCATAGTAGTATGATAATCTGGGTCCCATTTTAGAATAAAAGTCTGATTGAACAAGGGAGAGCCATTGGAGTGTTCATCCTGAGTGATAAAAAATGGCCTTCCAATGACGCTCACTTTATACCTCCTGCAGACTTCTGAAATTCAAAATTGTCAACAAATTAAGAGGCTGAGGTCTGAGAATCGTGGTTCAAAGCCAGCCTGGGCAGGAAAGTCCATGAAACTCTTATCTCCAATAAACCACCAGAAAACTGTAAGTGGCAATGTGGCTCAAGTGGTAGAGCACTCACCTTGAGCTGAGGGACAGCACTCAGGCCCAGAGTTCAAGCCCCACGACTGACCAAAAAAAAAAAATTGTCAACAAATGTCTCCTTCCCACCTGACATGCCTACCTTGCTCAATTAAATATAAGCATGAATGACTAAAAAAGAAATTAGATGAGTCATATTTCACGGCGATTACAACTGGTAATTAAGGATTATTCATATGACAAAAAAAATCAAAGATAAATCTTGTGCTGGTGGCTCATGCCTTTATTACCAACTACTCAGTAGGCTGAGACTCACCAAATAAGTTAGAAACCAGACTTGAAGAACAGTCTGTGAGATTCTGTACCAATAATCACCAGCAAAAATCAATACTAGAAGAGTGGCTCAAGGGATGGAACACTAATGAAGCAAACAAATATGAGGCCCAGAGTTCAAAGCTCACTATTACCAAACCTCCTCCAAAAAAACAAAACAAGATTATCAAACTCAATTATAAGGAAGACACCAATAATTTATTGGTAAAGAATTACAAGAATGCCAATCTATTTTTGAAATTTAATAAAATATCCTATATATGTAGCTTAACATACTATATATAACTTGAAAATACATGTAAGAAATATATATGAAGTATATTATAAATAAATATCTATGAGATCTTTTTATTCACATACCATTATATTTAGAGCTAAAGGTACTTTAACAACAATGACTCAGTTAATCTTCACAACAGTTCTGCAAAATAGATAGATGGTATTTCTATTTTATAAATGAAGAAAGTGAGTTGTAGGAAGCTAAAAATAGCAAATATTATTGTTATTCATTTGTAACAGTAGAGAGACCATGAGAAAACAATGGAATTAGTACTTTGTAATATGATTGCCATTGACTTTGAATGTCACCCAAGACCAAAAGAATGAAGGAATTTACGTTTTAATTTCTAGGCAGCAAAAGTGTGAGAGTCAAATCTTAGCTTCATTATGTACTTTATTGCGTACTATATGTCACATTGTTGAGATTTTGTACCCAGCTTTGTTTGTAGGGCCTCATGTTCATGAGGCAGGCACTCTACCACTCAAACCATGTTTCTATCCTCTTTCTGTCTTATTTTCCAGGTAGAGTCTTGCTTTTATGCACAAATAAGTCTGGGCTGTGTTCATCCTACTTGAGCTTCGCCATGTTGCTCAGGATAGCAAACATGTGCTCCTCTATCCAGCTATTGTTAATCCCATAGCTGGGATAACTCATGCATGCCACCATCACCGATCATTGGTTGAGATGGAGTTGTGCTCATTTTTATGCATTTTTATTCCCTGGTCTCCCTCTCCCAAGTAGCTAAGATAATAAACTTGAACTACCACTCCCAGCTTTGAAGACAATTTTCTAATTTGTAGAATGAGAGCATTAATAGTATCTTTTCTTTGGAGAACTGATGAGCTAATTCAGGGGAAACACACCCTACAGTTCCTAGTGAAGGCTAAGTCAAGCAAAAAGGCCATTCCTATTGGTAATGTCTTTTCTATGATTTCAAGCAAAAACTTTCCTTACCTGAGGCCTGGGTGGAACGAATGCTGGCATAGAAATACAAGCAGCCATCCTTGAGAATGCAATAGTGTTGGACCCATGTGTCTGTGTTTCTATCCAGCCGGTGCAGAAGGCCCAGACACTCTGGATTTTTGATAGCCAAGGGTGGGAGGTTGCTGTTGTGAGCAGTAACATCTTCCCAGACGTGATTCTGCAGGTAGAGCACAAAGGGATCACTCGAGTTGTCATCCTGAACCAACTGCCTGGACTTGCAGAGCCAGTGACACTCATACTACTTGTGTTTAGGGAGGTCATTACCATAATGGTTTTATTGCTAAGATAATTTATGGCTCAAGTGACTGAGTAGCCAGAAAACTCAAATCTATCCATCATCCATACAAAACCCTCATCCCATTTGAAGTCTATCCACATCCCTTCTTTTTGGCTTTTATTATATGCTGAGAAAAAAAAAATCAAAAGAACATCAGCCTAAGAACAGGAGATGAGGTATAGAAATGAAATGGAAATAGGCTGCTCAGCAAAGACTATTTTTAATGCCCCCATTTATAGAAATGTTGGCCTGAAATGCTCCTTCATTCACCACAGAGATTGACCTCCTTAGCCTGTTCCTGGTATGTCCACCGTGACTAATAGCAGCCCCTGGTTCATGCTTTTCTTTATCAGGAACTCCCACTTGGGCAAAGGAATAAGTTAAATGCACCAGACCCGCTCAAGCCTTAGGCTCTCATGGTCAGTGATGTGGAAGACTGATGATAAATGGGGGTCCTCTACCCTTGAGGGCAGCCCTCAGTCCACAAGCCTGGGAGAGAGGCTTTTTCTGAGAACTCTGACCTGTGGCTGGGGACACTGCTCTTTCTCTCTCATCAGAGCACCCTGCTTGTGTTGGCCAGTTACTCTTCTTCCTTTAGTTTTATTTTTTCTTGCTCTTTCATCTTAATAAGGCAGTGCAAAAAGCTTCTAGACTGTTATGATTGCTGTATTTTTTTTTCTGTGAAGTAGAAGCCTGCTGGGAGTTTGGTGTTCATGTTTTTCACCTTTGTTGCAGACATTCTGAGTGCATTTGTTGAATAGATACCTCTTAAAAATATCCAGGCTCATTAGGCCCATGCATTGGAAGGAAGGATGAGTACACTGAATGATATGTTCCAGGAAACATGAAACAAGTCCTGCTGTTTGTCCTGCTTGTGAGTGTTATAAAAGGGCAGTTACAAAGCAAGGTTCATCATTCCTGCTCAAGCAATGTGAATTTCCTCTGATGTATGCAATCTAGACTACCTATGAAGATATCATTGGCAATGGACACCATTTGTGAGAATGGTTCCATACAACAAACACATGAACGGAAGTGGCGCTGTAGCTCAAGTGGTAGAGCGCTCGCCTTGACCTGAAGAGCTGAGGGACAGCATCCAGGCCCAGAGTTCAAGCCCCACGACCGACAAAAAAAAACAACAAAAAACAAACACATGAACATAAAGACATGCACCTAAGTATGAAGATTCATTTTCTAACAAACTGCTTGGCCAACAGCACCAGCTCAGGATAGCTGAATGCAGATTTTATGTATAGGACTAAAAACTAGCAAGATCGGTAACCTCGTTGGGAGCCACTGGATTGCTCTGTGTGTAGCAGAATCTCCATCCCCAGTTCTGACTCCCTATGAAGTCTGATTGGGAGCAACGCCATACAAACCTCAGACGATAGAAAGGAACAGCAGGAAGGAAGCTTCCATATAGGATCTGAGCAAAACCCCTGTTAACTTAAAAAATCATTTTTCTCAGCTTTTAAAACAGATCTAAAATGGGACAGGGAAGGTGGCTCAGTGGTAGAGTGCTTGCCTTGCATGCATGGGCCCTGGATTTGATTCTTCAGCACCACATAAAGAAAAAGCTGGAATTGGCGCTGTGGCTCAAGTGGTGGAGCACTAGCCTTGAGCTAAAGAGCTGAGGGACAGTGCTGAGGCCCAGAGTTCAGGCCCCACAACCGACAAAAACAAACAAACAAAAACAAAACAGAGATCTAAAATGTCCCAGTGTGGACTGAATGACATCTAATGTGATCTTGCCCAAAATGAAGGCAGAAAAAGCATCAAGGAGAACTTACCTGGTGAATAGGATGGGCTGCTTTGTCCATTGCTTCAAGCCACCTGAAAGACAGTAAAATAAGAAGGGGACTCTGTGACGGATTGGGTAAGGTGTCATCTTGAGGGGCTTGATCTTGCTAAACCCATCAGACAGAGTAGTCTGAATGGGCAGGTGAGGTTCAGATGTTATGATTTTTCTCTAAGTTCTTGGGTGAAGGGCAACATGTTCTTTCCAAATTGAGGCTGTGCAGCAAAACCTCATCCCTATAGGAATATCTAAATTACAATTTTCTTATCCTTGTCCTTCATAGTTTAATTAGTGCCTGAGAGAAAATTCATTCACTATTTTATTAACATATGTAATTTATTTGCACTATCAGAGCTGATAACAATTGGTATATTAACTCCAGGGAACTGGCTACAACATATGGAAAAACTGTTAAGTAATCACTGTCTTAAATCTTTTTCCCAAGTGCTCCTTGGATCCTGGCCATCTTTAGTGCATGATAAGCATCTGTTCTTGAGGACTGTGTTTTCCTAGTCTTGCTTCTTAGCTAGGTACCCGCAATGTCAATCATGTCGATCATTCACAGTTTTCTTTTAGACTTTCTTTTTCCTTTTTTTTTTTGTCAGTCATGGCGCCTAAACTCTAGGCCTAGGTACTTTCCCTGAGCTCTTCAGCTCAAGGCTAGCACTCTACCACTTGACCCACAGCACCACTTGTGGCTTTTTCTGCTTATGTGAACCCAGAGCCTCATGCATGCAAGGCAAGCACTCTACTACTAAGCCACTTTCCCACCTCTAGATTTTCTGACTTGTAAGAAAAACCCCACTACTTTTTGTCCTCTGCAAAGCTTGATTTACTCCCCCTTCGGTCCTATGTTTAATTTCTTCCTTTGTATGTTATCCAAACCTACACACTACCTGCCATAAATAATTCCTTCATTCTCATAGCAAACCACCCCCCTCTCTCCTCTCAATTCCTATACCACTTCATCTTCTCCTGAAGAGTGTTTCAACTTTTACTTTCTTTCAAATAATGGAATAAACACCCTATCTTCTTATTTTGGAAAGGTCTTATCTAAAGGCAAGGACTGTCTCTTTGTCATATAGATAACACATAGAGATCTTATAAGAGTGTCTTGGACACGCAAGATACCCCACAAATATTTCGTTATCATATTTCCCTGTGTGTCAATTAATAAAATAATACCTATTTGAAAATTTATTCCACATATAGGGGTAGTACATTGTTTGTCAATGAGATATCAGATCTATTGGTCACTTCAAGATTGGTCAAATTCTTTTGAAGAGATATGTCATTGAAAGTAGATACTGCTACTTTTTTTGTCATCAATTTTCTACCCTTCACTCAGTCCTGAACACTATTGCAACTTAGCAGTTCTTTTTGTTGTTGTTGTTGGTGGTGGTGGTCAGGGGGCTTGAACTCTGGACCTGGGCACTGTCTCTCAGGTCTTCAGCTCAAGACTAGAGCTCTGCCACTTGAGTCACAGTGCTACTTCTGGTTTTCTGGTGGTTTATTAGAGATAAGAGTCTCATGACTTTTCCTGCCTGGGCTGACTTTAAACCACAATCCTCAGATCTCAGCCCACTGAGTAGCTAGGATTACAGGAATGAGCCACTGGCACCCTGCAATTTAGCAGTTCTTTAAATAGTTTTCAGTTGATTGATTGAATTGACCCAGGATCCCATTTCCGCAGGAAATTACTGAGGACAGATTGTGGAGGCTAGTGATCAGAGATCATAAGGTACTTTCTCCTTTCATTTGGGTTATATACCCACAAAAAACTGGGTCGATTAATCATCTAAGTGTGTGTGTGTGTGTGTGTGTGTGTGTGTGTGTGTGTGTGTGTGTGTGTGTGCGCGCGCGCATGCGCGCACGTGCAGGAACTTTGGGGAATTCCAGGTGTGAACTGTAGCAGTGTTGAAGTTTTGAAAAAGAAATGATAAAGATTTAAAGTGAGAGAGGTAAGAGAGCTAACAGAATATGTACTCTAGAATATCTTTTTGAAAAAAAACCTGAAAGAATTATGAAGACTCAGACTTCTTGTACCTGCAGGAAAGATAATTAATTCATTGACTTATGCTACAGATTTGTTGCACTATTTCCTACTTCTAATTTCAAGAATCTACTACAGTTGCTATGGACAAGCACTACTGAAAGCAAAACTGGCAAGGAAAAAGATGGATGAATTACCTTTTCATTTCTTGGTTTGAGGTTGCACAGAGGCAAAACATTCTACTTCCAGACTGAGGAACACAGTTAAACACGAAAGGTTTCCCCAAGCTGCTATCAATGCTAACTTCTGCTCCTTCTAATTTTATTACCTCTAGAGGTGGCCATTTTCCTTCATCCTGTAATTGATAAGGAAGATATTCAGTATTGCTCTAAAACTAAACAGATAAGAGAAAATCAGAGAAGAAAAAGACTACAAATTATTGTTTTAAATTAGTAGTAATTTAGTTCTGAATAAAAATAAAGCTAAAAAGAGGTTTTATAGATTAAATTATCCTTAATATAGATCATGTAATTCCAAATTTCCCAATTGTGCTATATTTCCATGCATCTTTTGAATAGACTTTATTAATGTTTCATTTATGCTTGCCTGAAGCATTTTAAATAAATTATTTTGCATTTTTCCATGATCAAAAGAAATTGGTACTACAAAATACGCATTGTTGTTGGTGATATAACCTTTATAGATGGTACCTACAGTTACATGTATTCCATGTTTACTGTGTTTTAGTGCTTCTTCTAAATTCTTTGCATCTATTAAAGAACTAATTTCCACCAGTGCTCATGAAGTAGCATTATTTTTAACATCTTCATTTTATATATCAGAAACATGTAGCTTGAGAGAGTTCCTTTCTGAAAAACACTGTAGTTTTGCATACCATATAAAATGAAAATAATTTAATAAGCAAACTTTTTCTGTTATTTATTTTATAATTTCTCAAAGTCTTCCCTCCATTATTATCTTTTCTGTAAATTACCTGAGATAATTTGTGTATGTACCACAAAGTCACTTGCTGTGCATGTAATAAATTCATAGAATTAGAGAATTCTCATTGTGATTAAGTTAAAGAATTTTTAATTAAGTACAAAATTTTCTTTGAGTCAATTTGCAATCTTGTGCTACTATCTTCCCCATCACAGACAACCAAAGATTATATTTTTTGTCTTAATACATTTTTAATTCCTCCACATTTAATATAAATGCAGTCATACCATAGTTTCTTGTATGATGTAGTATTATCAATACTTCATTATTTTCAAGGCTGCTTTGTGTTCTGTTGTATGTATATGTGTACACACACACACACACACACACACACACACACACACACACACACCCCACATTTCCTTGATTCATTCTTCTGTCAAGGGGCATCTAGTTTGATCCCATATCTTTGCTATGGTAAATAATGCTACAATGAACATGGTTGTTCTGGTAGCTTTAGGGTAGCCTTGTTTGTACCCTGTTGGGTAAATTGCCAGTGAAATTGCTGGGTTATAGGGTAGCTCTATGTTTAATCATTTGAGGAACTACCAAATTGCTTTCCAAAGTGGTTGAGCAAACTCACATTCCCACTAACAGTGTTCCCTTTTGGCCACATACATGCCAGCATTTGTTACTGTTAATTTTCTTGATAATGGCCATTCTAACTGAAGTGAAGTGGAATCTCAGTGTTGTTTTGATTTGCATTTCCTTTAAGGCCAGAGCTGTTGAATATTGCTTCATGTGTTATAGCAGAATTCAAAGGAATTTACTTACATGACTCCTGTCATATAATCAAGAATTGTAACTGAAGTCACTTAAGAGGCCTTTTCCTCTCTGTTTAAGTTACATGTATGTGAGAACAAATGATGTCTGGATTTTTGGTTTTCATCATGGGCCAGATTCCATTTTCACTAATGTCAGTCACTGCCTCATTTTCTTTGGTAGTGAGCTTGCTGTGACCCTGGGAACAGCTGCAAAAAGCTTTGGTCACAGAGTCCATGCAGCAAGTGTGGACATTCTTACATCTGTGCTTACTCATCTTACTGTTTCCTAAGGTTCACCAGCCCAAGAACTTCTAAACTCCATTTCTGAGATCGAGAAGTAGGAAAGGTCTTCATTTGTACTACTCCTAATACTGCCCTCATTATGGTCCCACATGTTTTCTTGAGATAAAGGACAACTAGGAATTCTATTTTACTGCCATGTGTTATTTTTTTTAACTACTGCCTTAAGCAAAACTCAATCCCTCTGTTTGGCAATGATCCTTAAATTGCTTCTGTTTGGTTCCCTCTGTACAATTCTGCCAAAAACCCCTCTTATGGCAGTGCTGAGAACAATGAATACTCTTTTCCACACAACTTTATATTCTCCTTTCCAAGGCACAAAAAAATCTCTAGCTGCATTTTCTATTCTGAGTTAATTCATAGGTTCAGCTGCTTCATGTGTGCAGGATTGATTAAAATAGCAGGGATGCTGAAGAGATTTAACAAGGAATGGTTTAGTGATGTCCACAAGCTATAGATTGAGAATAAAGAAATTTGAGCTATTTATGCCAAATAGCCTTGGATAATGTTGATATTGTCTATCAGATTGGAAGCAGTATTTCTACAGATGTATTTCCAAAGGTAAGACTGCTCAGAAAAAGGAAATATTAAGTAATAATAATCATAGAACCTCAACTCAGAGTGAATATACTTCTAAAACAAATACTTTCTATGAATAAAAAGACAAAGACATTTGTGTCTTTTTGAAATAAATTACCTACAGATACTTTTCAATTATTTGCTTTAGTCAAAATTTTTATTTGAACATGCTGGAAGTTTTTGTGTGTGGTTACTAGTCTCCTAGTCTAAGAAAAGGGAAGAGCCTGGAATATGATAGCAATAAATTTTGTTTTATCTGGAGATGTGGCCATGAAAATCTACACACTCAGGAGTCCAGAAAGAAAGAACTAATTCTCAGTGGAAAAAAACAGAGCCAAGATAACTTTGAAGGAGAAAAAAAAGCATGCCCTACAGCAAAACACCACATAAAGGGAACATGAAATATAGAACTAGAAATGCTTTTTTATATAAAGTAGAAGCACAATTGATGAATAAGTGCCCCATATAGCCTTGTTAGTGAGCTGGGAACCGTTTATCATGGACAGATGCAGCATACTCTTCCCTCTGGTCAATGGCCTCTGTCCATATCGCAGATGATAGGACTAGGAGAGAAGAAAACTTGAATAGCTAAGAAGGAAGGAAAGAAGCAAGAGCAATTTCCCCGTAGTGACCTTTGCTACTTTTGTCCTGTGAGGACACAGAAATTTGGTCTTTACAAGCCAATCACTGTACCACTTATAGCAGAATATTTATGTACTCATGTGTTTATTGATTTGTTTCTTTATTTGCTTTCTTTATCTCCCCTCTAGGAATGCAAGAAAGGATGGAAATAAACAGGAAATAAAAAATGAAATGAACATGACAATCAGACTTTTGTTCATGGACAACACCAGATTCTTTGTCAAGGCTCCATGAGTTTGGTATTTCTTTTTTTTTTTCCTTTATAATCAAAGAAAGAAAATTTAAGCTGGAGACGAATGTACTGCCCCCAAAGTTACAAAAACATAAATAAAATATAGAATGTAAATAAAAGATTCCATATTTAAATATGGTATGGCTCTTCATGAAGATGCATGGTTGAATCTGTGGTATCAACTGAGGTAACTGGCTGCAAACTTGGAATTTTGTGTGTACTTTTGCAGTTTTCCTGGTGTGGAAAATCATTTTTCAGAAGTGATAAATACACGCTGGCTGAACCATGTTGTTTCCTGGCACTAAGAGACTCCAGAAAACACTGGCAGCTCTTACAACCAAAGGAGTTTGTCTGCACTGGACCAACCAGGATGCTGTGCCCAGTCAGACAGGCTTCCACTGGAATGTGAGCCAAGGGAAGGAGCTGCCAGAGGTATTAAAGCATGGGCTGCCTGACATCTACTGCTTTGAAGAAAAATTTCTGGTGTCAATCACATGGCTCATTTGTCAACATTTTCCTTGGCTCCAACACTACCCCTTAGAGGATAACTACTACCTTCTAGCACTTTTATCCAAACAGAAAGTCTGTGAAGTAGTGGAACTGAGACACAATCATGACCCTGTTGTCTCTCATAGCATTCTGCATCTTTAAACTCTTTAAGTGCGGTCCTAGGAGGTTTCTCTCTGACATAAGGAATAGTAGTTCTCTCTTATATTCAGAGGACATCTTTGAAGGATCTCTGTGAATATCCAAGGCAGATGGTACTGAACCTTGTACCGGCCATGGTTCTTTATGTCCTCAGTGTTTACACAGTACTAGAGCTAATCCATCCCTCCATGCTTTGTGTCTGGGAGTTTCCTTTACTAATCTTACACTTTATGGCCATAATTAACAAAAATAAAAATAATAAATGGAAGTACTGTCGTATCATGAAAAATCAATCTGATTAACCAAGTGACTAATAAGTAGGTGGAAAATACAGAACAGAAATGCTGCACAGAGAAGTCATTCACCATCTGACTGGGATAAAGCTGGATGTTGTGAGATTCCATGACATCATTCAGAAGGTCCTAAAATAAAACCTGGAAATCATTTTTGAGATTTCCCATTTAATATTTTTGAAAACCAGTTGACCATGGGAAATGAAACACTGAATCCTCAGAAGGCGAAACTGAGTAAGAGGGGACTACTGTTCTATTTACCTGTAGCGGAGCCAGGTTAGTTGACTTCCAATCTTATTTCTATTATGCCTCAGTTTTCTTATTGTAAAATGGTATTTCTATAAGGATTATGTAAAGTGTTCAGAACACTGCCTAACGCTTCATAAGTGATATTTAAATCCAAGCTTCTATTTTTATAGAGATGCTGATAAAAATGAAGAGTGAGAATCTAGGAAAGCAATTAACCAAGAATCTTTAATATTAGTAGTAGGGTAACTATTTAAAGTAAGTTCATTATAGCTATGGGGTTTTTTTTCCCTCTAAGAATTAAAGATGTTTGATCAAGCTTAATTTCTGAATTTCAGTGCCTTCATTTGTACAATAAAGAAAGGTAACAACATCTTCCTTCCTGAAAATAGATGAGCCCATATAGGTCAAGTGTTTGGCACATAACAACTTTTCAGAGAAAGCTGTTTCTTTCCCTATCAGTTTAAGTGTAAATTAAACATCACCACAATCTCACTAAGATCCAGAGGGGCTGTGTTAGAAAATATCCTGCTCCAGAGCCAGGCACGGTTAGATTGGGAGGGAAACTGTGCTAGGGCCGGACTGAGGAGAGAGTGGGATGGAGGCTAGGAGACTTGGTTTTTCTCTGTCTTGGAAAGGAGATGTAAAGATCTAACTGGCAGATTCCTATACCTGGATTTCTGTAATTCAAGTGGCAGAGCCCTCTCCCAACACTTAGCAGATGTGGAGGATTCAACACCTGTCTGAAAACCTGTAGGTGTTCTTACAGAGCACCAAGCCTTTACTTTGGAATCTCCCTTCTTTTGTGGTTACTCCTCAGAGCCCTCTCTTCTACATGCCTGGGCTGGAGCAAACTGGGCTTTAGTGGGTTTCTCTCCCTTCACCTCCATCCCCGCTTACTGAGGATGTCTCTAGCACGTGTCAGACATTGTACTGGCACAACAGCGCTACCTGGCCTTTAGTCTTTGACTGATATCCTAGTGAGGCCTTTCTCATTTTCTCATTGTTTTCTAAATTTTCTTGTTGTTGGAGATTGAACCAGGTTGTTGTATATAGTGCTTAAGTGCTCTGCCATTGAGCTACAAGGTACTTTTGTTGTGGTTGTTGTTGTTGTTGTTGGTTGTGGGGCTTGAATTCTGGGCCTGGGAGCTGTCCCTCAGCTCTTCAGCTCAAGGTTAGCGCTCTACCACTTGAACCACAGTGCCACTTCTGGCTTTTTCTCCTTATGTGGTGCTGAGGAATCAAACTCAGGGTGTCATGCATGCAAGGCAAGCACACTATCACTGAGCCACCTTCCCAGGCCCAAGGTACTTATTTTTGACAATTCATTAGCTCCCCTTCCTGATTATGATCTTTGTTCCTTGGAGTTGTCAATTACTGTGTGCCTTACATCTGATTCTTTGAGAGGAGTTTTTCCGGCTCCTGTGGATGTGGATGTCTACTTATACACTTGATGTTTTAATCACTATCTACCATCTCAGAAGAGGAACAAAACTTCCTTTTTCTCTACTCTTTTCTGATCTTACCACTGTTTTGCTTTTGTGAATTATGTTGATAATCTGAACGGAAAATATGGTTCTTTTTCCTTTTAAACATCCACATCATACTTCTATTTAATCTCTCTTAAAGTACATTTGCCCAAAGCCCATTGTATGTCATGTTTATGTCCCAGTAAGCTAAGCCAAACTTCTCCAATGAGGTCTGTGCCCCCGCTACAAATTAGTTTTTTCTTGGATATGCATTTTCTGCCTTGAGGTATCGTTTAGAGTTCTCTTGTATATTTATAATTGCTATTTAATTATTCTTTGTAATTTTTGTATTGAATTTCCTCTTCTTGAGGATCACAATAACTCAACAACTATGTACATACGACCATATAAAATGATGCTAATTGAAATGAACTCCAAGATATGGAAAGAAGAGGGTTTTTTGTTTATGCTTTTGTTTTTAATGTACTGCATGAAGTTGTTTCTCTTTTCTTTCATTTTCTTTTTATTTTCCCTTTGGTTTGTCACCTGTTGTCACCTTTTTGTATTTTGGTAGCCTGTGTCTTATATATACTTTCATCTGACTTGGGGAAAGGAAGAGGGAAAACCAAATGATGAGACATAGGACCAAGGATGACCTGATGCAACAGAGATACTCACAAGATATTACGTTGGAAATGAACTTTACAATGGGGGGGGGTGGAAGTGGGGGAACTCGGAGGGGAGGAAAAATGGGAGAAAACAAGGGAAGGGTAACAATGTTTGACAAGAAATGTACTCATTACCTTACTTACATAACTGTAACCCCTCTGACACCACCATTGCAATACAATACAATAAAATAAAAATGTTCTGCTTAAATAATTTTGTATGATGATTAATTTTCTAACTTGGCACCTAGTATTAGTTCAAAATTGTTCTAAGTATGGCTGTAGTAGTGCTTTTCAGACATGATTAATATTTAAGTAAGTACACTAGAGGAAGCAGATTAGCCTCCCCTATTTGGATGGATTTCACCTAGTCAGTTAAAGGCCTCTAGAAGAAGAAATTATGCCTGCAGACTCCCTCTAGGAACACAACCTTGAGCTTCAGTGTCACCTCTTCCTGGGTTTCCATGCTGCCTGCCTGAATAATTTAGATTCACTTGACCTATCAAAGCATAAACCAATTCCTTAAAATGCTTTCCTCTGTTTCTGCTCATGCACGCATGCATGAACACACATATACATTCACAGTTAGTTCTGACACACCAAACATTGTGTTAGTTGTTTTCTTGTGGTATTGCATATAGAACCTAGAACCTGTGCATGCTAGGCAAGGGATCTGCCACTGAGCTACACCAAAGACTCATGTTGTTTTTCTGTCTTTTGTATAGACCCAGATGGATACATTGAGAAAATATCCAAAATCAAAGCTCTCTTTTTGTCTCCCAATTCCTTTTTATCATCAGATCCTACCATGGCTATCAAATTTCTTTAATAATTATCATTATCTCAGGATCATACAAATCTAGTTTCTTCTTTCAGATCAAGATCACCTTATAATTCATGTTGCCATTTCTTCTCCTTCATTCACATCTTAACCACCCTTCAATGTCACCTGCTCAAATTTCTCTATATCCATCATCAAACTCTCTCTTCTTACAAAGTCTGACTGTACCCACAGACTCAGTGGCTGTCTTGTATGGATCTTCTTTGCAATATGTTTTAGAGTGAACACTTACTGTACAGCAGGCTTGGTGCTATGCTAGTTTTCAAGATGGCTTTGGCCATCTTGATGAATGAGGATGCTATGAATAATTTGTTTCTTGAGTGCCAAGTACCTGCCAGATATTTTAATATTTTTAATTTTAATAATATTATTTATCAAGATTTTGTAATATAAACTGTTGTCCATATTTTGTAGGTGTGAAAACTGAGATTGAGATACAGAGTATTTTTATCTATATTGTGAGATTAAGACAGTTTGGGGCAGAGGAATTCAACTTAGGATCAGCACAGTGATCTCTGTTTTTTTTTTTTTTTTACTAGATCATGGGTATTGATCACATAAATGCTTGTGAAGGAACCAATTGAGGGAGCTAATACAAATTTTAAATTTTAATTTTTAAAGTAAAACTTGTGGTAACGTGTGTATTATAGGGAATTGACCATTTTAAACATTTTTGGGGCAGCCATCACTCTTGTCTCCCTTTAGAACCCTCTTCATTTCTCAAGGGTGAAAACTCTGCTCATAAATAACTCATCATTCCTCAGACCCTGTACCCCAGGCCCTGGGCACCAACATTCTGCTTTCCATCTCTGTAGATTTGATTGAGTAAGTGCCTGATACAGTGGAATCATATAATATTTACACTTTTGTAACTAGCTTATTTCACTTAATATAACATGATCCAG